TTGCGTTGCGATCGAAACATCGTAGTTTTTTGTCATTTTCTTTGAACCGAAAGACCCAAAGAATATGAATTCCTGCAGTCACGAAAGCTTAAAGTCATGACACAGTTTAAGTTTAGCAGGGTCTGTCTGGGTCGGTTACTCAGAGAACATTTCCGCACCCAATGTGCATCTCGCTTTGCCTGTAGCTGCAAATCGCGAGCCTCCCACAGTTTACCAGCCGCCGTAGAAAAATATTCGGTGAGAAATTAAGTCCTGCGTACAATCATCACAAATGATACGAAGGACTCGTGAATTATCAACAATATTATAGAGGCCTTGAAAAGTAGAAATTAGCATAAATAGTCGAATCTAACTTGTAACAATACCATCGGTTTTTTGTATTTGGGCCTCCAAAAATGACAGCCTGAGGACCGATTAGTTTCTCTCATAGGGCAAGGTCAGCTTAAAGTTTGACGTAACTTTAAGTTTGTACTAAACTTAAAAAAAAAATTGATTCCATTCCATCGGTGGACAAAGTTATCTGCCAATGGAATAGCAGTGTAGATATTCCATTACATGGTATAAACGCATTTTTAAATGTATGAATTAACAAAACAATAAGAGACTCGCTATGTCCAATACCGTTATCACCACCACCATCATCATCATCATCCCTATGGGGTTGCTAAGATGTTTTCCGCTTGGTGGGAAGTTCACCGTCTATGGAGAGACCGGCTGCTGCCGCAGGAGGTATTTTTTCCCACCACTGAATCGGGAACGCCCATGGAAACGCGCAGCGAGACATCGTGACTCCAGCCACTCCGAATAAAACGCCCACGCCACAGAGCTGTTGGCACGGCGTTCTTGGTGCAGCGGTTTCACAGACTTGGCACCGCCCTCAGCGAAGGGAAAAAAAAACATTAACAGGGCAAGCATAGAGCAGCCGTCCGTGAAAAGTCCCGTCACCGTGTCTCCACCTGATCTTGTAAGGGAACTGCTAGGATCCATACTCTTTGGTTCTATTGGGTAAAGTCACGTAGGTGAAAATAAAATAACAAAAAATCACGACGTTTCGGCCACAACACAAGCGGCCTTCATCAGGTGAAGGGACGAGACTGTCTGGAGGACAGCGCTGGAGTGGAAGAAGCCACGCTTAGATCACGACCTTTAAGCTGTGTGAGAAGAAAAAGACCAAGCGCCTTGACGCACAGCTTAAAGGTCGTGATCTGAGCGTGGCTTCTTCCACTCCAGCGCTGTCCTCCAGACAGTCTCGTCCCTTCACCTGATGAAGGCCGCTTTTGTTGCGGCCGAAACGTCGTGATTTCTTGTTATTTTATTTTCACCTACGTGACTTTACCCAATAGAACCAAAGAGTATGGATCCTAGCAGTCACGAAAGCTTTAAATCTAGAACTGCTGTCGAGCCTGCGGTGGCTGACCACCGTGCGATGGCCGTGTCGTCGGATTCCGATGAGTTTAAAGAGAAGAATCCACACGTGTGCCACGTGAGAGCAGTCGTTGCCGCGTGTTTGCCGCTGGTGTTTTTCGAATGTGTTTCACGGCACAACGCCGTTAACATTTTCGCTGCCGTTTCCAGCGACGCACTCGGCGCATTGTGACACTTCCAAAATGTTTGATAGGGTGCGGAAAAAAATGTTTTGATTTAAAGCTTTCGTGACTGCAGGGAGTCATATTCTTGGTTCTTTCGGTAAAGTCACGTAGAAGGGAAACAATAAAATAATAAAAAAATATATAAAACAATACAATTCTCACGACGTTTCGACTGCAAACACAAGCAATCATCATCAGGTGTGAAACCAGAGCAAGAAAATTTGAAAAAAAGTGGCGGGTTTTTTTTAACGTTAGCACCACGGAGAGCGATTTGACAGTTATTCAGATGGACGAGGGTGCAGAAAACCAAGCTTCTTCACATGCCTCCCTCACTATATTAGTGACATGTAATCATACATTAGTAATACCGGAGTGTAGCCACTCTGCTATATCTGCTCGAACAGCACATTATATCTTTAGCAACTCTACCCCAAGCTGCGTGGCAAAAGGTTCCATATTGATGGAGTAAGCATGCACGCATGGGTGTGGTGAGGCTGGGCTATACACACCGTTGCCCAAGCCAAGCCAAGACAAATTTTAAAAGCCGGAGAAAGATAAAGAGATACATTGGGTGGATGCATAGCCCGGGGGTGTGCTGACTCGTCCTCCCAAGCTTAAAGTTGACAGTTGGATTGAAGATGCCATTAGTGTATCAACGTAAAAGTCAAAATCCCAAGTTTTTTTTTTCAATTGCCTGCCAATAAATAATTTCATCAAGTACAGCGACTTCAGAAAAAAAATGCATCGGGGACTCCCATTGTGCGGTTGTGAAGACATGCAGGCAGGCGCAGAATATGTCGTGGCAATCCACATTAGCAAACACCATCCTGCAACAGGAGAGGGCGAGTGGTGGCGCAGTGGTTAGCACACTGCGGTACGAACCGGGCCACGTGAATTCAATCCCCGGCCTGAGTTCGATTCCCGGTTAACCCCCAAGTTTGATTCCTGGCCATAGCTAAACACCGCGGTGGCGAGATGTTAACCACCTCGCCTGGTATATTAAGAGGTTGCGGGTTTGAACCTGACGGCTGTATTTGGCTGAGAAATATATCCACGTGATCAGGTCACTTCTGAAAAAGAGCGATATAGCTCAGTGGGCCTTACCTGGCAAAATTAAACACGAGTTAAGTTTATATCTAAATCAGTCCTGTGCTTCCCCTTTGTCCAACCAAACCAGCATGCTAAAGTAAGGTCGAGAAATCGTCCTGGCCCGACATCGCTTTCTTTTGCCTTTCCGCTAAATCCAGCTGGGTGGCACCGTGGCAGAATCACTCCATCGGAGGACTCCCAAGTTCAAATCCTGTTCGGGTTGTCACCTCAGCCGTTCGAACCCTCCTCTGGGGTCGAAAACATCTGTGGCACTTTGCGGCGAGTCAAGAGTTGCAGCAGAGCGGTACAGAGAGAGAGAGAGAGACTGAACACGATTAGAGGAATGTGGAATTTCCACCACAGGCTCGGGGGGGGGCGGCACCCACAGAGTGCCGCCCCCCCCATCCCCGGGACGGGTCTCCCACTCTCATTAGGGTGCCGTAGCGTGGCTCCTTTGACCCTTAAGCATTTCACATGGATCCGAAGAATCGTAAATAAACTCTTTGGTTCTTTCGGTAAAGTCACGTAGAAAATAAAATCAATAAATAATAGACTACGACGTTTCGTTTGCAACACAAGCAACCATCGTCAGGAAAGACTGAATGATAACACACAGACACGACAACAACACAGTCAGACACACATGCAGAGAGAGACACACACCAAGACACAACACAGACACGGCAACAACACAGACACACATGCAGAGAGAGACACACACAAAGACACACCGAGCGAGACACACACCAAGACACAACACAGACACGACAACAACACAGACAGACACACATGCAGAGAGAGACACACACCAAGACACACCGAGCGAGACACACACCAAGACAAATGTGTGTCTGACTGTGTTCTTTCCGTGTCTGTGTTTGATCATTCATTCTTACCTGATGATGGTTGCTTGTGTTGCAACCGAAACGTCGTATTCTATTATTATTTGATTTTAATTTCTACGTGACTTTACCAAAAGAACTAAAGAGTAATTCCTGCAGTCACGAAAGCTTCGAATCTAATCATAAAAAACACAACTGGCTTTGGGCAGCTTGTGGTTAGCAAAATCGGCTAAATACAGGTGATGAATGCGCATCTCCCTTTTTTTATTTGTTTAAAGACTGCGTTTATCCACGATACAGGTTTTTTTTTGTGTTAGATCGCGTAAATATATAAACGTGTCGTTAAACCCGCCACCACCCGACACGTCCAACTAGTAAGGGGTTTGTCACGTAAACAGAACGTGGCCAATTCGTCACTAGTACAGCACTAACCGGTGTGTTGGAGAGCCAAGCCAACAACATTTACAATCTGACTACGACGTTTCGCCAGTAATTACAACTAGCTTCATCAGGCGACAGCCAGATTTGTGGAGAAGTCTAACTGTTTCGTTCCTTAAATAGAGGCGTAGATGTGATGATAACACTTGTGTGCCCTTTTTGCGCGTAATGGGGGGGGGGGAGGAGGGGTTAATGAATCAACGTACATTATAGCATGCGCATTATGCGCATGCCTTTATATTGACGCCTGAGCGGGCACTTCCACTTTGCAGCTTTGGCTCGCACATTTTAACGGGAAATGACTGTGGATATAAATGTAGCGAAGATGAATATGACAAAACAACGCACGGTAGATGTAACAAGATGTTTCGCGGTTTATCCAAGCGGTGTTCATACATCCAGCAAGTACGGCATCCTGCGTGTCTTCATACGGAGAGATCTCAGCACATCCAGGACCTGGGAGATAGAGCTTCAGTAATGGCCCAGTGATATTAGTGTCGACAAGAACAAATGTGGTGAATAGACGCCAGTGGAGAGCAATTGTGCAGCAAAGTCTGGAAAGGCCAGCTGTGATGCAGGAGTCATCAATAACCATCCTATGTCAAGACGTGCATTAAAAAAAAAAATGTGTTAAAGCAGTCTTTAGTTACGATTTAATACCTCCACATGACCCGCGCATTTTTCAGCAGTATCGGATATTTAGAAATGCTAAATTGCCTAAAAAAAGAGAAAAATACACGAGGTGACGTTTTGGGCAATGTGCCTCTCTTCGCAGCACACACACAGAGAGGCCAGAGAGCACAGTTTCAATTCACTTTCATTTGATGACCTCTTGCGCTCACGTCTGCGAGCGTTTCCTACTTCCGCGGAAGAACATTCACCGCGACCGAGTCAATTCGCGCGCCGCGGGCGGCACGCGAATACCCGCGGCGGCCTCCGCCGCTGGCCGAGCGGACACCGCGCGCTCGCCCACCGGCCCTCGTCTCCGCCTCCCCCGACGCGCCGCCGCCGCCGCCGCCGCCGACAGCCGCCGACAGCTCACCTCGCCGCAGTCAGAGGAGACGGAGCGGGGACGCCGTGGAGCCGAAGCGAGCGGCAGCGGCGACGCACTCCCACCGCACGCCGCGGCCGGCGCTCTGCCCTCGCCGTGGCCGCTCGCCATTTCCTGGAAGGGGCAGCGAAGCGGAACACACGTTGCTTTCCCCCCCCCCCCGCCCGCCGCTCGTCGGTGAGCAGGGCAGATCGAGGAGGAGATGGAGCGCCCGCAACCGTCGCCGTTAGATCGGCGGCGGCCGCGGCGGCCGCGGCGGCGGCCGGTGACAGATTAAAGGAGGGGCAAACCGGGCATGCAGAGCAGCGGGAGACCCCCGCGCCACCACCCCCTGCTGAATAAGTCAAAGTGTCTCCGAGCTCAAAATAAGAGATGGGAGGGAGAAATTCAGCAGGAGTGCGGAGGGTCCCCGGTTGCTCTAGAGGACGAGAGCCGGCTTACCCGTTAGGTCACAGCAGACGCCGACAGATTAACCGTGGGGCAGGCTGGGCACAAAGAATTCTGGGCCACTTCAATGAATAGGTCAAAAAATGTCAATGTGTCTCCATGCTACAATCAATATTGGGTGTTGTTCTCCAACGGTGGCCCTGGATCGGTTTGAAAACACACAATACTATGGTGGGGCTGGGTCTTCCCACAGGATGACCACATCCCTTGCTGTTATGAAGAGTTGTCGGGACATATTCCGTGAAACGATAGCAATATAAAACATTTTTTTTTTAAGTGTGGCAATTGCTAAATCAGTTTGCCACAGCTTTGTAACTGTATTTCACATTATTATTGTATGTTATGTGCTTTGCTGTGCTCTCAGTACAAATAATGATTGCTTAAAGGATCTTTGACTGAAATTCACTCAACTTAAGCCCGTCATAAAGTCTCAATAAACATTACAATTTACTGCTCACAAGGCACATGCTGTCGGTTAAACTAAACATTTCAAAATAATAGTATATCCTCATGCTGTCATGACTCCTGATAACATTTTACAAAGCAATCATTTAATATATCCCTTTTTAATGATTCATGTTTTTGTTCGCAAACATTCTGCAAGAAAATAAAATAGATGAAAAAAAAATGAGCAGCTGTAATAACGATATCATTCTAAATGGATGATGCGATTAATTTAAAACGTAGACTTTCGCGACCAATATTGCCCATAAGGGGTTTTTAGGTTAGATCGTGTAAATATAAATGTGCCGTTAAACTGTAAATGTTGCGGGTGTACTCTCCAACACACACCGGTGTGCTGAACTAGTAACTAATTGGCATGTTTTGTTTACGTGACAAGCCTGACTAATTTGTTGTCGGGTATAACGACACATTTATATTTACGCGATCTCACCCAAAAACCTCTATTGTGGATGATATGATTATCGTGGACCTTATATCGTAGCGTCATTATTACCATAGCAACGACAATGCCAGGTCATAGCAGGCGAAGACTTTACTCATAAATCAGAATGGGCATTTAGGAAGCTCGGGTAACCCACTGTGTAAAGGTTTGCAATGGACAGATAGTTCCTCTGCTCCAACGATCCATGGGCAGTGCTCCTCTGCATTGCCAGATGAGAAGCAGCGGTGAAAACTCCACATTCCTTTAGCAGGCGCGAATCCATTCATAGGATAACCACAGGCCTTGCTGTTTTGTAACCGATGGATTCAACATACGCGAGACTGGGGATTTAGGAAAACAAAATTCGATACATCGTTCTTCAACTCACCTATCTGTGGTCCTAAGCAGGTGGTGGGGAATTCCACATTACTGTGATGGGAGAGTCCCTCCCTGGGATATAGCCACTCCTCTCAGATTTAGGTCACAGCATTCATATGTCTTCTTTGGTTCTTTCGGTAAAGTCACGTAGAATGAGAATAAAATAATAAATTTATAAAATAAAATAACACAATAATATTCTCACGACGTTTCGGCCACAACAAGCGGCCTTCATCAGGTGAAGGGGCGAGACTGTCTGGAGGACAGCGCTGGAGCGCTGGAGCGCTGTCCTCCAGACAGTCTCGTCCCCTTCACCTGATGAAGGCCGCTTGTGTTGTGGCCGAAACGTCGTGAGAATATTATTGTGTTATTTTATTTTATAAATTTATTATTTTATTCTCATTCTACGTGACTTTACCGAAAGAACCAAAGAAGATGAATCATTGCAGTCACGAAAGCTTTAAATCGAAAGCATTCATATGTTTAATTAACGATAGTATAGACTGGGCATTTACCAATCATGTGACAAATACTTAAACCCATACGAATCCTCACACTGGAAAATACTTCAATTTTCGCTCTTTCGGAATAATTAAGATTCCCCGACACGTCTAACGTATAATCGTTGAGCCGGTCGTGATCCCTCTCCCCTCCACCAACCCACACAGCCCCCCACGGCACGAGGAGCCCTTCACCCAGCAGTGGATTAACAAAGGGCCATTCAAATGCACTTGCCAGTGGTCAAGGCGTCATCATGCTGAAATGTGCAGTGAGCGGTGTTCATCTCTGTCCAGCCCTAGGCCACTGGTACAAATTCCAGCTTTCCTAGGAACGGGACCAGGATGTCCAGAGGCCCACCACTGTTGATTTGCTACAATGGGGTACCTATTTTAATGACCCTGTAGGGATGATGGGCTGAGTCAAGCCCTGTCCAGGATACGAACACACACATACACATTACATATATTAAATTATAATTACGAATATATAAATATATAAACAACTTCACTGTACACATATGTATCCCAAACAGCTTCCTCTAATCCCTGGTGAGAGCCCATTGCATTAAAATATTACTTACGCTGACAAACTGATTGCAATAACAACCAAGTTCAAGTGAGTCACAGTTCTAAATTCCAAAAATGTGGTACAGTAAAATCTTGGATTGTGAGTAACTTGGTCTGCGAGTGTTTTGCAAGACGAGCAAAAATTTAAAATAAATATTAATTTGATAAACGAGCGAGGTCTTGCAATACGAGCGGTACGTATAGGCTTTGTGTGTCGAGCGTCACGTGATCACAACTGATATTCGAGTGCTTTGATATACGAGTGCTTTGGATTACAAACAAGTTTCCGGAACGAATTATGCTCGCAATCCAAGGTTTTACTGCATTTGTATTTTGGTCATGATGTATCTAACGTAAATAGTGGGTGGAGTGGTGGCACGGTGATTAGGACACTCCACAAACTGAACTCGCCCCCCCCCCCACCACTGTTCACCAACCTACACTGATCAGCGTGGTGAAGTATAGTCGAACATGATCCTAAACCCAACTTATCTCAAGTAAATGTACCTAAATCACAGAACAATTTGAAGAGATGCCACCAGAACATAGGAAAGCCAAGAGCTGCATACCGGCCAGAGTTAACTCAAGCCATGGAAGGTTGTTAAGCATCGTCATTGCCATCGTCATCATTATCCCCAGGGCTTGGTAAAATAAGAACCCCAAGGAAATGCTGCACCAGTATGTAAAGGGGAAATGAACAGAAGTTGGCCATGAGATGGAACGGTCCCGTCCAGGGGCGGAGCCAGAATTTTGACTTTGGGGGGGCTGACTTCAATATTCTGAGATATCCACTGTTTATGTTTTCCAATGGGCACCACAAATGTATAAAACAACTTTTATTGGATTTTAACGCGGAGTTTATTAATAAATTGGAGCCGCTGATGTGGCTGATAAGTTCGATAAGTTCGAAAGGCTGCCGCTCAAGCAGCCTGCAGGGCAGCACACAAGGTGGCAGCCTGCAGGGCACCACGAGGTGGCAGCCTGCAGGGCAGCACAAGGTGGCAGCCTGCAGGGCAGCACAAGGTGGCAGCCTGCAGGGCACCACGAGGTGGCAGTCTGCAGGGCAGCACAAGGTGGCAGCCTGCAGGGCACCACGAGGTGGCAGCCTGCAGGGCAGCACAAGGTGGCAGCCTGCAGGGCAGCACACAAGGTGGCAGCCTGCAGGGCACCACGAGGTGGCAGTCTGCAGGGCAGCACGAGGTGGCAGCCTGCAGGGCAGCACACAAGGTGGCAGCCTGCAGGGCAGCACACAAGGTGGCAGCCTGCAGGGCAGCACACAAGGTGGCAGCCTGCAGGGCAGCACACAAGGTGGCAGCAGCACAAGGTGGCAGCCTGCAGGGCAGCACACAAGGTGGCAGCCTGCAAGGCAGCACAAGGTGGCAGCCTGCAGAGCAGCACGAGGTGACAGCCTGCAGGGCAGCACGAGGTGACAGCCTGCAGGGCAGCACACGAGGTGGCAGCCTGCAGGGCAGCACGAGGTGACAGCCTGCAGGGCAGCACGAGGTGGCAGCCTGCAGGGCAGCACACAAGGTAACAGCCTGCAGGGCAGCACAAGGTGGCAGCCTGCAGGGCAGTACACAAGGTGGCAGCCTGCAGGGCAGCACACAAGGTGGCAGCCTGCAGGGCAGCACAAGGTGGCAGCCTGCAAGACAGCACACAAGGTGGCAGCCTGCAGGGCAGCACACAAGGTGGCACCCTGCAGGGCAGCACACAAGGTGGCACCCTGCAGGGCAGCACACAAGGTGGCACCCTGCAGGGCAGCACGAGGTGGCAGCCTGCAGGGCAGCACGAGGTGGCAGCCTGCAGGGCAGCACACAAGGTGGCAGCCTGCAGGGCAGCACAAGGTGGCAGCCTGCAGGGCAGCACACAAGGTGGCAGCCTGCAGCATTTTGCAGCAGCCGGATGTCCGGTTATCCCGATTACCGACTTTCCCAAAATTTCAGGGGGGGCTGAGCCCCCCCCCCGCCCCCCCTGTGGCTCCGCCCCTGGTCCCGTTATAGGAAGGTGGAATTTCCACTGCTGGTTAACAGTCGCCATTGATTATAATTATGAGCACCGCCCACGTTTGTGAATCCTGACCTTTTCAAAAAAAATGATTGCAACGTAACTATAATAGAATGAACCCATATAAATACTGTTTTTATTGGCATTGTAACAGACTGGGCCTGTATCATTTTGGGACACATCTTAGCCTTTTTGGAATGCTTTGAATTGAATTTAACGTAACTTGTCTCCGCTTTGTCATTCACAAAGGTAAGATGTTGCGAGTCATCGTCCGACTACAAATACTAAAGAAGGTTATAAATGACGTCACGCGATTTTGGACGATTTTGACC